ATCAAAGGAGAGTGATGGTTAAAGTTGATTACTTTAGGGGTTTTAGCTGAAGTTTGGAGAAATTTTTGTTGTGGAATTTAAGAAATTTTTCAAAGTTTTGGGTAAGAGTACTTAAATTTGTCACTTGGTGTTGATTTAGATTGAGAAAGATTTGATTTTGGGAACTCTCTGTTACCCTTTAAATTATCTGCAATGAAGTTATTGTTGTTTTGATAGTGTGATATATTGCTCTCTTTCCCCTTTTACTATATTTGGAAGATGCTTGATGAATGCCAAGTTACTAGTAATGTTTTACACCTTGGTATCTTGAAGATGAACCGCTTGAAGCGTTAAGCGTTCACTCTAATCTATGTATTGGAATAGTATAATAAACTACAAATGTTCAATGTAAACTCGATTTTGTTTAGGCGTTTGAAAGTCCGGTGCTTGACACTCTGTTCAACTCAATTTGTGCAAGGGATGATGATCCTCAGTCGTCAGGTATGTAAACCTTGCTTTTTTGTATGTTACAATGCTTTAGATCCTTGGTTTATTTCATGAACTAACAGAAAATTTCATGAACTGGCATTTTCCATGTGAAATTCTCGACAACAGAATGCCAAAGAAATCAAAAGTAGTGTGAAACATGAGGAAAAGAAAACCATTGATCAGGACAATGTAGGAGTTGAAATTAGGATATCAACATTTCGGTAGAAAAGTTGGAGGACGGAGAAGTCTCTTTCAGTCTGATTTCCATCCAATAAACCTGATGTTTGCATGAGTCACATCCCTTCAAACATACTTATAAGTTCTTTATGATTCAGTTTCATACTTATGCATAAGAAGACTGATGCAGGCTGAGGAAGACTAAGGAGAATGCAGGAGCACACAGCAAGAAAAATCTGAAACTCAGTGGAAATCTTCATTCCCAAAAAGAGTGACGTTGTTAACTGATGTGCAACCGGGGTGTTGGCAGGTGAGTTACTGAAACTTGTGTCTGCTTTGTCTTGCAGATTTTGATCCCTAGTGAGTATGTAGGGAAGAAGTCGGAAATAGTATGTTTAGTTTATGAAAACCAAAGGAAGAGTTAGGAGCTCTCTGATTTTCGTCACTCTTGTTATTGACCAGTTTGTTGGACAATGAACAGATAGTGAATGATTCCAGAGATATTGCAATTTCTTTCTATGACACTAGATCCAAAATTTACTTCTGATTAAAGGGTTTTGGTTGTGATTCCATATATAGTAGATGTGATTATGGTTCTTGCGAGTTTCAACTAACTTTGTACTAATCCATAGATCTTTTAAATAGATATTTAGACTAAGAAAGCTGGGAGAAATGTCCGGAACCGTTTTGGATGTAGAGTCATAAATCTTGCACGTCTTTTATACGGATAATTAAGTTTTGGTTCAGTACTAGGTTTGAACAATGGTTAATCTAAAACCAGTTTTCTTTCAACCATCAGATCAATAACAATGAGATGCTAAGGTAAGTATATGAGAAGTTAATTTGTTCACAATTTAATTTAAAATGGTATTACATAGATCTTGACTTACGGAAACAGAGATGTACAACAGTGAATCCTAGTACAGCTCTGTGTAATTGAACAGAAATTGACCTCATGTCAAATTATTAAACAAGAACTGACCTCATGTCAAACTGATAAATGCCTGGG